AAATTTAGATAAGAAACAAGGTTACTTCACAAGTCAGTCCCAGGTCCCTCTCCCTTTCCCTCCCCTCCTCCCGTGCCCTCCCCCCACAACCCCCCCCATTATCCCCTCATTCCCCCAGGGAGTGTGAGGCCCTCCATGGGGGTGCCCATAGTCTGTCATTTTATATAGGGCAGGGCCTAGACCCTTCCCCAAGAGTTCAGGGTAAGAGTGCACCTCACATTGTTCTATGGGAGTCCAAAGTCCGTGTGGATACTTGGGATGGGTACTGATCTGCTGCCCAAGGCTGAATAGATTGCCTAGACCTCCTCACTGACACCCAGATTCAGGGGGTCTTGATCAGTCCCATGCTGGATTCCCAGACTGATGCCTGGGATTCAAGAGTTAACCTTTTTCTGGTCAGCTGTTTCTGGGGGTTAAACCAGCCCAGTCTTAATCCCTTTGATCATCAGTCCTCCCTCTCTGTTACTGGCTTTCTTGAGTTCAGCTCAGTACTTAACCCAGGGAGTCTGCCTCTTCTTCGATCAGCCACTAAATGAAGTTTCTGTTTCCCAGACTCTCTGGCCATAGGATTGTAGGCTGGCACTCCCCAGATCTATGTCTAAAATCCATATATGAGAGAGTACATGCCATGTTTCTCTTTTTGTGACTGGGTTACCTCACTCAGGATGGTTTCTTCTAGTGTCATCCATTTGCCTGCGAATCTCATGATTCCATTACTTTTTTCTGCTGAATAGTATTCCATTGTGTAGATATACCACATTTTCTCTATCCACTCTTCGGGTGAGGGACATCTAGGTTGCTTCCATGTTCTGGCTATTACAAATAAAGCTGCTATGAACATAGTGGAACAGACATCTTTGTTGTATGAATGGGCATCTTTTGGATATATACCTAAGAGTGGAGTTGCTGCGTCTTGTGGTAGGTTTATTCCTATTTTTCTGAGGAATCTCCATACTGATTTCCAAAGTGGCTGAACCAGTTGGCACTCCCACCAGCAATGGAGGAGTGTCCCCCTTTCACCACATTCTCTCCAGCATAAATTGTCATTGGTGTTTTTGATTTTAGCCATTCTGACAGGAGTGAGATGGTATCTCAGAGTTGTTTTGATTTGCATTTCCCTGATGGCTAAGGATGTTGAGCACTTTCTCAAGTGCCTCTCAGCCATTTTAGACTCCTCTATTGAAAACTCTCTATTTAATTCTGCAGCCCACTTTTTAATTGGGTCCTTTGATGTTTTGGAGACTTGCTTCTCGAGTTCTTTAAATTTTGGAGATCAACCCTCTGTCAGATGTGGGATTAGTGAATATTTTTTCCCATTCTGTGGGCTGCCTTTTTGTCTTGCTGTCTGTGTCCTTTGCCTTACAGAAGCTTCTCAGTTTTAGTAGGTCCCATTTATTAATTGTTGATCTCACTGTCTGTGCTATTGGTGTTATGTTCAGGAAGCTGTCTCCTGTACCAATTCGTTCAAGGGTACCACCCACTTTCTCTTCTAAGAGGTTCAGTGTGGCTGGATTTATGTTGAGGTCTTTGATCCATTTGGACTTAAGTTTTGTGCATGGCGATAAACATGGATCGATCCGCATTCTTCTACATGCCAGTCTCCAGTTATGCCAGCACCATTTGTTGAAGATGCTTTCTTTTTTCCATTGTACAGTTTTAGCTTCTTTGTCAAAAATCATATGTTCGTATGTGTGTGGGTTAATACCCGGATTTTCAATACGATTCCATTGGTCTACCTGTCTATTTTTGTGCCAATACCAAGCTGTTTTCAGGACTATAGCTCTATAATAGAGCTTGATGTCAGGGATGGTGATGCCTCCGGACGTTGCCTTGTTGAACAGGGTTGTTTTGGCTATCCTGGGTCTTTTGTTTTTCCATACAAAATTGATTATTTTTCTTTCAAGGTCTGTGAAGAATTGTGCTAGGATTTTAATGGGGATTGCATTGAATCTGTAGATTGATTTTGGCAGGATTGCCATTTTTACTACATTGATCCTACCTATCCAAGAGCATGGGAGATCTTTCCATTTTCTGAGGGCTTCTTTAATTTCTTTCTTTAAAGATTCAAAGTTCTTACGATACAGGTCTTTCACTTGTTTGGTTAGTGTTACCCCAAGTTATTTTATGTTGTTTGTGGCAATTGTAAAGGGTGATGTTTCTCTGATTTCTTAAGCATTCACGTTTCTAATTTAAATAAAAACATATATTGAGGAATAAAAAATACTTAATAGGTTCCAGGTATGGTAGCAAACTCTTTTAATTGTACAATTTCAAAGGCAGAAATAAGACAATGAATTCAAGTCAGGCATGTGCTTGTCCTGTGATTGGGGCAGAGGTCAGTGACAGAGTGCTTGCCTAACTGACACAGGTCCTTAATGTGGATCCCAGCACTTAAAAGAATAACAGCCTATTGTGAACTTCTAAGAATGTTCGTCTTTAGAAGGGACTCATTCCCCTTTTGACCGTATGGCAACATTATTGGCTTGAAAGAAACCCCATAGCACATGGAATGCGGGAATGATATTCACTTTTACTCAGTAAGTTAATTGTGGTAAGAAAGGTATAATTAAATGATGAAAATTTCTATGTAAAATCATCTTATCTCATAAATCAAATGAAAATGTTTGAATTTTAGTTTACCATCCATGTCATAAACAGTGATTTACCATCATCTCTCAAAAAGGGTGATGATTTCCCACAAGAAAAACATAAGGTTAAACTGTCTACACAATTTCAGATTCAATCCCTCTCTGGCCACCTAACAGTACATAATGCCATTAGGATTACATAAGCTCTCTGAGATTTTGGTTCATTCTTCCTGATTAAGGCTGTACTCTCAGATTCCAAATGAACTTTACTTATAGATCCTGAAGCATACTTTTGTGGTTAAAGGGGGAAATGCCCAGATAGGTTGTAAGCTTTCTAAGGAACTAATTGATTCTGCTCACCAACAGGAGATTGCCTGTGGTTGCCTGCTGATGTCAGATATAGTTGCAAGTTTGTGCTTCTTCCCAGAGGGGTACAGGGTTGATATGCAGGGTTACACAAAACAGAATCTGACCGTATAACAAGATGTATAACATGTGCTCTGACTGGGAGGGGACGAAAACCCAGAGAACCTTTTAGAGACAGGAAACCATCTTGAAAATGCTACAAAAAGACTACGCTATTGCTGCTGGTTTAATAGGTGATCTGCCCATGAAATAAAGCTGCAGGGCCACGTTTGTCTTAGTTAATAATGTCAAGGGAATGAGGAGGCTTAACTGTAATAACAGTAATAACTGTGTCATGTAACTACAGAGGCAGGAGTTTTGTCTGCAGCCTTATAGTGTATGACCTTTATTAAGCTTCTACCTGTGGAATTTTTTTTTCCAAAGCAAAATTGGCTTGTATGTTCTGTTCATGAAATGGAGAGTCAAATAGTCCATGTTTCCCTGGCTGAACCAGGATATTGTGGCTAGTGATTTAGCGTCACAAGGAATAATTTTGGATTTGGTTAGAATTTCAGAGAAAAATCCCCTTCCTTGACCCTGAATTAGGAGCCTAAAGGCTGCACTTGAAAACATTCTTGTCATTTATTTCTTCTCATCTTTTAAAAATTCATAAAACCCAACAATGGCTCCTGTATTTTCCACTCGTGATGCTTTGTTGACCCCTCCTTGATAGAGTTAGCCATTGCATGCTCTTCAAATATGTTTGCTTGCCACACCTGCCTAATGTTTGACAGTGAGTTTGTTACCACATCCTCCCCTATTGCTTGCTTATGAATCCTTTGTAGAGACCAAGTCTTACTTATCTTTGAACCACTATTTACAGAGGCTGGTTATTTACTATAAGTGTAAGCAAATGCTCTGCCTGACACATAGTCTGTATTCCTAAGTGATATTGCACATTCTCCACATTTCGTCATTTAGTTCCATGCTGGGGTGGGCTGGGGGAAGATAGAAGAATAGATTGACATATCTGAAGACTATCTAACTCATTTGTGGAATAAATAGAGGGTCAAAGCTCTTGTTTTATAATTAATATTCTGGAACTCTGACCAACCTATGCAAGGCTGGATGGTAATACACGTTTGTTATCATTCTTTATCTACTATACTCTGTTCATTCTTCTATCCAAGTTGTTCCATTAACTTTATGTGTTTTATATCTTTCTATTTAATCGCTATTTCCTTTCACTGATTTCTTCTTCTTTTGTTCCAATTTGTGGCCTTATTCCTGTTGGTGTCCCATCTTTGCATTCATTGCTTAGATTTAGCCATGTTGATCTATTCCCTGGCAGTCCTTAACAATTATTTAGAATTACTTCTAAGCATTAACTACTAAGCATTAAAGTCTAAGGGATCCTAGAATATCATATCAGATTGTGTTATACATGTTTAATGGATGTGCTAATTATACTTTGGACCCATCTTCAGTGCTCTTCCCAATACCTATGGAGTCAGCATGGGACTGACCTAGGCCTTCTGCATCTGGGTAACAGTTGTATAGCTTGGCCTTTTGTTGGGCTCCCAGTAGTAGGACCAGACCTTTCCTTGATCCATGAACTGGCTCTTTGGAACCTATTTTTGATGGTGGGATAACTTGTGCAGACTTGATGCAAGGGGGAGGAGTTTGGTCCTGCCTCAAGTTGATATTCCAGGCTTTGTTGACTGCCTTACCCCTTCTGAATGGATATAGGAGAAGGAGTGGGTGGGAATAGAAGGGAGGTGGGGGTGGGGATGGGAGGAGAAACTGTGGTTGGTGTGTAAAAACAAAATGAAGAATCCTCTCTGGTATCCCTGGCCTCAAAAAGATGGAATAATTTCTGATGGTACACATTTTTATGTAGCACTCCCTGGTGGCGTTTTTATGTATCTATGTCTGTTTCCCACATTTATGCCTCTTTTCACTACAAGATCAGCAAGATAAAGTTCTGCATTCTCACTTTATGTAAGAATGTACTGACAATTACAGAACTGAAACAGTTGTTCTAGCTCAGCTTTCTTGTAGCTTCAGGTACTGAAGATGATAGTGCTGGTGGTGATGCTGATGGTAGTGCTGACAATGATGATGATGGTGATGATGGTGGTGGTGATGATGGTAGTGGCAGTGTCAATTGTGGTCAGTCATTTTTGCAGGGAGAATCTTCCAGTGTCATGATACTTTTGTAGAGTTTTTTTTCTGACCACTGAGCTTCTTGTGGGGAAGACCTGAAGAATCTCTTTTCTTTCTTAAGTTTGCCATTAGCACCTCAGTTGGTTCAAGTTTCCCACTACTATTCTGATATGACTGTGAACACTCAAATAGGGGGAATCTGCCAAAAGCTTCAGCCAAAACATGATAATGAACATTTGACAATCCAGTTATGATGCTGATTTTAACCACAAAACAGCTACATCATGTACCATTGTGCAGAAGGAAAGAAGAAAGACAGTGTAAGATCAGAAACAGCAGGACCACAGCAGGAAATCCCAACGGTGTGAGGTGTCCGAACGTGATGCCTTCAATCAGCTTTCTCAGAGATCATGTTGACAGAGCATCCACACCACCAGCAAGAATTCTTCACTATTCTAATACCAGACACTTAAACCTTTGCTCCAAATTAGGTCAAATTTAATCAAGCAGAGCCAGATTTAATGTGTAAATTTCCCCCTAGGGTATCCTTCATTTTAAACTGAATGACTTATCACCTTGGAAAAATTTCAGTCATTCATGAGTGGGCAGGTTTGAGAGATCTGTAAGGTTGGAGGCTGGCAGGAACTTTCTAAGTGTTATTATAAGGAAATGCTGTATATAATGATTAGATATACTCTCCTTTATTGATTTTGAATACAATAATCTCTGTTGTCCAACTAACTGTGTCTTAGTCTATCATCTGTAAAGTTGCAAAGTAAAACTTGGTCTCCTGGGTTCTTCAAGCCCTTATGTTATTGAATCCTGCTATTCATCTTTTGTTCTCATCACCATTCCATCAGAAACTCAACACTCGTTTCTGCTTGTCACTGATTAATGTTATTTGAAAATTGTTAAGTTACCGGGCTTTGTAAGGAAAGACTGAAAACTCACTTTTCTTATTTTGCATTCTTCTCCCTTCCACTCTTTGTATCTGTCATTGACCATGTGTCTATGTATCATTTTGCGTAATACCTCATGTGATAACCTTGCATATGCATCTTTGGTATCTGAAAAGTTAGGTAACTATCCACTCCTTCTACACGTTCTTTTCAGTTTTAAACTAGAAGGGCATTACATTGAATTTGAAATGTTCCCAACAGATGCACATTTTGCATATGTTGTCCTCAGTTACGTGGTGATTATTTTTTGGAATTAAAAGAAAAATTATTTGAGAATTTCAAGCATGGATGCTGTGTACTTTTACCAAATCTACCTCTGTTTCCTCTCTCCATCTCCTCTTGTAGTCTACCCACTACTCTCCCCTCCCCACTTAACATGTTCTTTTTTAAAAGCACTGAGCCTACTTAGTGCCTCCAGTGTGTACATGGGTGTATGGTTTCCCACTGGAACAGGGGGACCTATTAAAGGCATCAGTTAAAGACCTTGACTCTCTTTTCTCTCAGCATCAATCAGTTTCCCACATTTCCTTAGTTCCTCCAGATTCATTTCCATATACATGCAAGATATTTTAGCTGACTTGATCCTGTGCAGGTCTTGTGTATGTTTTCACTGAATTCGTGGATGGAATATCTTTGTCATGTCTGGAAAACACTGTTTTGCATGAGTCCTTCAGTACCTTCTTTCCTGTTCCTCAATGATCCCTGAGTTCTTGGTTAAGAAAGTGAGATATAGATGCCTCATTTAGGGATAATTCTTATTCTCTGCTCTTTGGTTATGAATTTCTGCATTAATTACTCTCTTTTGGAACAAGAAGCCTCTCTGATGAAGAATGAACATTCTACTAATCTATGAGTAAAGACAAGTATTTCGAGGTACTTTAATAATGTGTATATTTAGCAGAACTGTAGTTGTAGATTCTCCCTTAGGTCCTATAACTTACTCACCTATGGACTTTTGGCTCAGTTAGTGGTACCAGAACTGAGTTATATTTTAGGGAGCAGGCTTTAAATCTAATCATTAAGTTATTGGATACTCCCATAACATTCATGCCACTGTTGCCTAGTGAACATGTCTTTCCAGGTCAGTTATATTATAGTTGATGGAGTTCACAGTTGTGTAGGACTGTTAATTACTTTTCTCACCAGTAGCTTATATAGCATCTCCTAGCACTGTAAAGTTAACCTGCAGGGATAAAACACTTAAGTCAGCACCAGCTGGATATATTCACATCCTATGACTCTAATAATTGATGTCTTCAGCAAGAAAATCTTGCTATCAAGTTCTGACAAGGAACTAAGAGCAGCAATGACAACCAGTATTGTTTTAGGGGTTCATGGAAATTTACTGACAAAAAGGGAAGTTACCTTTACATGACACTGACTTTTATGTTTGCTAGCCTGTTGTGTCTAGCAGAGGCATTGTCCATCATATAGGGTAATTTTAGTAAAACTCTTTAAACTTGTATATGTATGTATTTTAAGAAGCTTAGACAATAGTAGGTTTCCATATGTCTCTTTCAAAGGTCTTTAATGTTAGTTATCCTTCCTGTATCTCCACTCACTTGACCCTTCTTGCACCATTATTTTAATTTCCCTCTTAACTACCCTTTTGTTTTTCTATGACCACCTATTGAAATCACTTCATGCCTACTTTTGGGATTCTTGGCTTCTTCAAGCACTATAATTAAAAGATGTCCAAGATTTGATGGCTCCATGAAATCCTTCTCCTCAGAATCAGGAAACTCATGGAAGAGGAGGCAAAAGGAATGGAGGAGACAGAGGGTACAGAGGACATCAGGAGAAAAACACCCTCCAAAACAACTAAGAAAAGCTTATATAAAGTCACAGAGACTGAAGTGGCAATCACAGGGCCTACACAGGTTTGCACTAGCTACTCTGTATATGCACTATAGCTTTTAGTTGAGTACTTATAGGATACTCTTAATGTGCCTGATCTCGGAGTTCTTTAATTTTTCTGTTGGCTTGTCTTGTCCAACTTTGGTATGATGGTTTTCACTGTATCTTGTGTTTGATTTTGTCATGTGTTGTTGTTATCTCTTAGAAGATAGTTTCTTTTCTAATGACAGACAGAAAGGGAGTGGATCCAGATAGTAGAGGAAATGGGGAAGAACTTGGGGGGGGATAGTGGGAAGGGAAAATTTATTCAGATTGTATTGTATGAGAAAAGAATTAATAAAAGGAAAAATAAAAGATAAAGACACACACAGATATTTAAAGAGTCAAAGATAGGATTCACATATGAGACAGAACATGCCTCTTCTTCTTTCTGCAAATGTTTTATGTTATTTTATTTTTTATGTTTGCATTTGGGCATGTTTGTGCAGGTGCCAGTAAAAAATAATAAGAGGGTATCAGGTATCCTGTAGCTGGAATTATAGGCACTTGTGTGTCACCTATCATGAATGCTGGAAATTATGTCCCATTTTTCTGCAAAGAGGAAAAAGCACTTGTGACTTCTGGGTCATCTCTTCTGCCCTGGTAGTGCTTAGTTGGAAGGGTGTGGAGTCCTTAGACAGGTAGTCCTGCCTGGAAGGATTGTATCACTAAGGGAAGTATTATGAGTTATTCCTGTGTCTGGTTCTTGACTCTAGACTACTTACTTTTTTGCCAGAAGAGATGAGCCTCAACTACAAGCTCTAGTTTGCAAGAACTCCACCAGGACTTTCCTCCTGTGATGAATCAAGTTCTCATGGAAACTGTGACCAGAAGTAAATACTCCTTCCCTTCAGTTGTTTCTGTCAGGGATTTTGTCACAGGGAAGGGAAAAGTAACTATGGAAAGTTTTAATCTTCTTTACTGGTTACCTTGGTAACTTTAAATAATATGTTTAGACTTTCCTTTATTGCCGTATCAACTTTAGTAAGATGGGAGAATCTTGTTTATGATGCCATTTATAGAAAATTGCCTGTGCTAAAGTCATTTTAGAAAAAGACTCAGTCTAGTTTTGTACTGAAGGTCACTATATTTATGAAAAGTACCTGTCATGGGAATGGCAATAAAAACTTGGAGAGTGAGACAGATTGGAAACCAATATCTTAGATGGTTTGGTAAAGTTAAAAACTGATAAACTCAGAACAAAAAAAATTGACGTGATAAACAGTAATTGAGAAAATCACTCACTTAAAAAAGAAACAGTATCCAACAATTAGCCGAATTAGCACCTCTATTGATTCTGGGAAGTATTTTCTCCCATTTAACCTACTCAGATCAATTAGCTTGGCATCTGCCTGCAACTTCATATATCAATATAACTGTTTTCTCCCCAGCTAACTGCTACTTAGCAGATAATGGGAGGGGTGGGCCATTTTACAAGACAATAACATGGTTCCTGGAGAAATAAATCGAGACACTGAAGGAATCAGATTTATTTCCAAAGAAAATGGAACATCTCTCCCATGGTGCCTTATATACCGGTAGTTAAACAATTATGGCTATTTTTGGACATGGAGTTAATTACTTTGAAAAGTCTGCCATACTGCCATTGACAAATACTACCCTTAAAACCCCCAGAAATAACAAGGCAGTCACTCAGAACAGCTAAAATGGCCACATTTGACATTTCTTATTGCAGGAATTATGTTCTTCCTGCAAAGTTACTTGATCTTTCTAATCTTAATTGAGTCTTATAACAGGGCAGGCTTCAGAATTCGTCCAGAGGTGGGGACTGGGCACCCCACTATTTTCCTTGTTAGGTCCTGTGAATATTCTGCAAGTGACTGTTCCCTTCCATTAGCTGTCAAGTACCTTTCTCTCAGTGTTAAAACCCCTGATTTTCAATTATATTTAGAAGCTAGGCTGGCCCTGGATGTCAAAGAACGCCATCATAATGACCAATTTCTGGGCTGAAACTCAGTTTGCTTTCTTCAAGTTCTGGCTTTCTGGTGGAAGTGTAAGATCACAAACAATGGGGAATGCAGGGAGTACAGGTGTTACAGATGCCAGATTTACACAGTCATAGAAAAATGTCTCTGAGTAACATCCAATGTCAATGAAAATCCTGGCAAAATGTAGTTAGGTGTAACAAGGCAGACAACAAAATTTATCTGGGACTTTAATTAGATTTGAAATTGCTGCAA